CCACCCCAGGCTGCCAACTAGATTCCCACTGGGCTTCTGTGTTCCTTTCTCTTTTCTATAGACTGCTGCAAGGGAATCTGGGATGTCCCACCCTAAGACTCTGCAGCCACACTACTAGCTCAAGTCTCCACCTGCTCCCCAACCTTGACCATCACTTAAGGCACTGGACTTGCACAGCTTTCCCCTACTGTAGGCAAGGTGAGTGAGCATGACAGGCTAAGGCAGCCAGAGTCCCCATTTCCTCCAGGAGGAATTCCTAGGCCTGGGCTGCCTGGGCTGCTGAGGTCCCTGCCAAGGCTTAGAAGTCACCATTCTCTTAATACTGAAGCTGCTGGCTGTTACTCCCTACCTGTCACTTCTGCTGAGCTAGGCCTCCCCTGACTTAGCCTGAGTGGCCCAGGTTGAGCCCAGAAAAGTTAATGTAGGCATGCCATGTGGCTTGAGTACCAGCTGGTGGCATGTGACATGAGCTGTGATATAGAGAACACTGAACAAAAGTTTCTGGAAAAGAGCTGTGCTTACAAAGCTGATTGATTTGAATGTTAATGATTTTGAAAAGGTTGGAATATTGTAGGTCCAGAGTCTCATTACAAATTATCTTGGTTTATCTTTAGTCCCATTAAATGGTCATTTATTTTCTAACTCTATATGTGACCTAATATTCTTGTGACCTTATGTAAATCCTTTGGAATGGATAAAGAGACCGCTAGGTTTCACCAACCCACAAGCTAAGAACATCATCAGACAGCTTCTGAGGCCTATAACAGAAGTTTACCCTCTCTGTGTGTCCTGCCTACCTGATATACCAAAGCATATTTGATGAAGTATGTTGATTTATGACTTTCTTTGTTCTGTTAGTATAAAAATTTCCTGAAACAGCTGCTATACTGTAACAAAGTATTTGTGGTAACTTAAGTAGATGTTACCAGGCCATGGTCACTCATGTTTGGCTCCAGAATGAAACATCCCTTATCCCCTTTAGGGTGAGAACTGTGTTTTTGTGTTGACAACACACAAGCTAGGGGTAGCATAGGGGAGGTCAAGCTTCAAATACTGTAGATCAATACAGGACTCAGAGCTCACAGAGGCCACGTGCCCTCTTCCAAGCTTCTAGGATGTGGGTAGATATCAAGGGGGTCACTGGAAAGGATACAGTAGGTTACTAGAAGAGGTAAGAGCCCTGACCTCCAAGGGCCTGCAGGCCAAAGGAGAAACCAGCCATTCCACTGGGCAGGATAACTCCAGAGGAAAGTTAACAAACTGCAAACTGCTGGGAGTGGAAGGGCCCCCAGGCTGTGCTAGCATTTGCAGACACAGTGCAAAAAGGAGCTCAAAGTCCATAGGGAAGGTGACCAAGCAAACAAACAGCATGATATGGTCTCTGGCGGAAATGTGAAGTGGGGGCTTTCCCAGTCACAAGCTAGGAAGGCTTCATGTAGACAGCACATCCCGAGTTGCCTTTAAAAAAAAAGTGAGTTCAAGGCCAGCCTGGTCTACATAGTGAGTTTCAGGCCCGCTGGGACTGCAGGGAGACCCTGATTCAAAAAGACGAAAGTTAAAAAGAGCCTCTGTCCTTGAACATTCCAGGTTGTGGATCTCAACCCTTAACCTTCTGGAAGAGAGGGATTCTTGGTATCCAGACCTTTAGGTCTACATGGCCTCATGGGTTTTCAAGCAACAGTT